AAGTTGATTTCCTTTGACCAAAATACTTAAATTGCTCTTTGAAGTCACTATACAGATAAAAAATAAAATAAAAAAATCTGTAAGATAATACAATTATGAAAAACGTACATAACTTTATAATTATTAATCCAATTATAATAAGATATTATACACACATATTTTCGAATCCGCTGAACAACTTTACTTATGTAACCAAAGTTGATTTCCTTTGATCAAAATGCTTAAATTGCTGTTTGAAGTCACTAAACGAATAAAAAAAAATAAAAATATTTCGTGAGATAATACAATCACAAAAAACATTCATAACTTTATAACTATTTAATCCAATCATAATAAAAATTTATATACACATATTTTCGAATCTGCTGAGTAACTTTACTTATATAATAAAAGTCGATTTTCTTTGACCAAATTGCTCAAATATCTCTTTGAATTAATTAAACAGATAAAAAAAATTAAATTTAAATTGTTGAATAATGTAATTGCAAAAATGTTTATAATTTAAATTTAACTTTTTGATTATAATAAATTATAAAGTAATTAACAACAACTTATTTAATATACTTTCTTTTTATATTCTAATAAAAATTAAAGATGTTTTAAAAAAAAATAGACAAAAAAAAATTTTTTTAAAAAATTTTATTTCGTTTAATTTGATTGGTTGACCTGAATTTTATCAGGTTGGGTCATAAGCTTGACCTGACCTGATATTGATCAGAAAATTTATCTACCTGACCTGAATTTTTCAGGTCGGGTCAGGTCAGATCACAGATTGACCTGACCTAATTCAGAGCTCTAGCTTTTGCTCATCATAATAAATATTTTTTTTCTTTTTGTCATAGCTATATCCTCACAAATGCATGTAATTTTGACATGTTTTTTTGATAACAGTGCCTTATTTAATATATTTTCCTTCAATATATACCTTTAGAAATGCAGGGGATCGTGATTTGAGTTTTTATTGATGTAACTATATACAACAATCTTTAGAGATATCTTCATCATTAAGAAAACCTTTCCATTTTGTATATTTTCCTTGGTAATCATTAGTAAGTTCTCCCGTTTGTATATAATAATCTTCCCAATTTCAAATACATCTTGACATATAGTCACCTTATTCTATACAGTTTTAGCAATTTGTATACTATCATTTATTTTACCTTTTTCACTTAACAATAGCTTTATATATTTACTTATACTAACTATACGCAAATAATCATATATAGACATATTTAATTTAGATGATTTTGTGAATGAGCATTATCAATTAACCTCTTCAAGACGTGTTTGAAGACTTGTCATAATGTTGAAAGATGATGCTGAGGTTTGCATATGTACTGGCATAATAGATGCTGATTATGGTTGTGTTACAGTGTTGATGAATGGTTTCGAACTTTGTGCTGTAGATATTTGCATTTTTATGTTATTGGAGACGCAATTTGTTGTTATTCCATTTTCCAATATCATATTATTTTCTTTGTTTTCAAGTTGATTCTGTTATTTTTTCTTCTTCAAATTATTATTCTTGAAATTTCAGTATACTGTTGTATTTTATTAATCATTTTAAATTCTTCCCATAATCCTACTCTTTCTCTCATAATAATAAACATATCCCAATTTCACAACAATCTGCAACTCGTAGATATGTAGATGATAATTTCACTGATCTCTTACCTTCTATAACCATTAATAGTTCAAAAAAGGAAAAGGTCATATTTTACCTTCACTTGTCTTTAATGACAATACTGATCTGTTAACTTTGATCCTCAGTAAATTATAAGAACTGGATTCTATCAAAGAACACCTAGCAAAGCTAGATTCTTAGATGCTATCTTTTGCTAATCTGAATGGGCCATTAGCTCAACAATTATAACACCTTCATACCAGGCAAATCACAGAATAAAGTCAATTCTACTAATAATTGAATTGACTCTCATGATCAAATAGATGTAGATATTTTCTTAACACACAACTAAATACTTTTCACACAAATAGAAATATAGAAATTAATGCTATTGACAATAACATTGAACACTTATCCAATACTGATATTCTTGATATTATATCAGGAAACGTCTTTAGTTTTACCACTCATAATATATATGGTATGAATGATGATATCAAATGCAAACAAACCATTAAAACTTTTAAAATAAAGAAAACAGACTTTATAAACCTCACTGAAATATACCATAAATCATCAATGTTCTTTAAATATAAAAATAATCCAGATTTTATCTCCTTTTGAAGTAAATCAGATCCCCTGCTACTGGGATAGGACTTATTATTAATAATAAATGAAGCCACTTTATCACAAAAGCTGTTTTAGATAGCAACAGATTTATCTATATTGACCTATTTTTAAATGGACATGCTAAACTTAGAGTTTTCAGCATTTATATTCATGCATTCCTTATTAACTCTCAAGATAAACATAATAGACAAATATTACAAAAATAACTTCTACACATCATTGACAACTCTATAAGAGAACATTATCATGTGATCTTTATGGGTAACTTTAATGCTAATATTAATGATTTCAACATACTTTTGTATTCTGGAAAATCTCCTAGTTGGACCAAAACCAACCTTTATCCCTTTTTATAGTAATAAATATAGAATTACATCTAAACGATTAGATGAGATCTTTGTCTTCGTAGAATGTATTTCTGATTTTATCTACTGTGGAATTGCAAAGTCCTTTCTTTACGAATCTGACCATAAAATGCTGATTGCCCACTTTGCTGATATCAAGATTGAAAAAAATGCTAAAGCTAAAAGAAACAATACTAAGAGAAAAGTTTTGACTTTTTCCCTTATAAATCAAGAGAAGTGGATTAATTTTTCAGAACAAACTAATCTTTATTTCTAACATAATTCTTTGAATTTACTTATTGATCTACCTCCAAATAGAGCGAACATAAATAAATTATGGGAAGCTATTCACAATGATATCATCCAAGTTGCCTCTCATACAATTCCGTATAAATGGGTAACCTCTTATGATAATGCATCTAAACCTAAAGAATTGGTTATTCATTATAACTGACTTATAAAACTCAACAGAATTCTTCTCAAGTTTCATAACAAAGAATATAATCTAAAATCTGGCCTATTGGTGTAGAATAAGAAGAATATATTATCACATTATATGATATAATAAAGAATGCTGATCTTTCTATGCAATTTATCCCAGATCATATTATTCCTGATAATATTATAGCTACTAGAAAATATATCTTAGACCTATATAGAAATGTAAAAGCTCTCTCTAAAATTGAAGAAAACAACATCAATAGTAATAAAATTAAACATTTTATACATCAAAGATGTCTTCAATATGAATTGAATCCTAGAAGAATGATTCAATCTGTCCTTAAACGAAATAAGAAACAGATTATTTTAGACAGATTATTGATTACTATACCTTTTAGTTCCAAAGAACTTGTCTCTGATCCTAAAAGAATCAAAATATTTGTCAATAATCACTTCCAAAATTACACTATTCCTACAACTCCTACTACTTCTCTTTCAGATCGATGGCTATCACAATATGCTCCTAAAAAATTTGTTGATAACTTTTGGTATAATCAACTTATAGACTCCCTACTTTTGAAGAATGAATAGCTGTGATTGCTAAACTTCCTAACGAAAAAGCAGCTGGACTCTCTAGAATATATAATGAACAAATTAAACACTTTAGACATCTTAGACCTGATCTTCAATACCTTCTTTGGAAACTTATACAAATATACTTCATAATTGGTGATATCCCTTCAGAATAGAAGATCGCACATGTATACCTAATCTCCAAACCTATGGAATAGGGTTGTGATATCACTAAAATATGTCCTATCACTTTACTTGAGACTACTAAAGGAAATAATTTTGCTGGACTTCCTGATGGATTCTCTGAAGATCTTATTAAAATAATGAATATTTTAATAGAAGATGCAATAGAAAACAAAAAAGTTATTTGGATTCTTTTACAAGATCTATTAAAAGCTTATGATTGTGTTGACCTTTCTATCCTTAAGCTTACTATACGTCAAATAAAAATACCAGAACTCTGTATCCAAGTGATCATCAACTTTTTCTCTAAAAGGAAAAATGCTGTGTTCACATCAGATAGCCTTTCTGATTATTATAACGTTCACATTGATATTGATCAATAAGAAGTCATCTCACATTACTTTGGTGTATCTATTTTGATCCACTTTTCTGTGAAATTGTTAGGATACTCAATGCAACACATATGGACTGATGATATTTTTAATATGACTACTTTCTCATTATCATTAAAAATCTTTTCATTAGGATATATGGATAATGCTAACTGGATTTCAAATTTCAAAGAAAATTTAGAAGATATTTTAACTATTGCTGATGAATTTTATGGATTCACTAGAGCTGTTATTAATAAAAATAAGTCACAATTTATCACTAATTTTTCTAGATACCCTACTTTAGTTTTCTTGAAATTTGAAACATCAATTTTAAACCTTCCTTCTGAAGATCTTCTATTTGTTTTCTTGGAGTTTAGTTCAATATAAACAACTCTTCAACTTTTGTTAAACAACAACTAATATGGTTCTCTTTTCTCTTTTAGAATACTATCTACAGACTACTCCATTATTCAAAAATGAATGCATTGAAATGTCCTCACCTATTAGAACACTTATAAAGAATAATTCACACTTTGCTATTTTTGCTTTTAATTGTCTATTCACTGGAAATATCTTTTACCAACTAAGAGATTTATGGAATCAATAACTTCAATCCTTCTCAACTGCCCTTTTATATCAATTTAACTCTACTTCCCTATACCATTAAATCTCACTGATTAGACCTTTTCAGCTACAATCTAATGAAGGATTTCATGTTTTCCTCTTGACATGTTGGAATCGACCATATGATAACAAATCCTATAAGAATCTAATTAGAGCAATGATCAGCTTACTTAAGTATGATTATATAGATATCAATTTCAAATTAAATGACACTTTAAAAAAAATCAAAGGCAGCTTGTTACCATTAGATTTCTTTTAATATCAATATAATTGGCCCAATCTATGATTATAATAAAAAATACAAACTTATTTTTCTTGATCAATTTTTGGCAACTGATGGATTCTCTTTATTCTTCTGAACTGAAATAATTAGCTATTCTTATTATTTTAACATTTCATTCCCTTCTTCTAAACTTCCTAAAATTTATAAATTAGTTTCTTCTTTAGTCTTAGATAATCCTAATAATAATATAGTTAAAAATAAAAATATTTTTAGACTAGCTTCTAATAATCTATTTTTTTTCCAAGTTTAGATGTAGATATTAATAGTAAACAAAAAGAATTTGTGTCAGTTCTTCATGCTCAATCAAATTGACTAATCACTAGAAGAGTCCTAAAAAAATATCCTGCTAATAATTCATTGACTTATTAATATTTAATTCTTACTTCTAGAAATAACCAAATTCTTTCTTAACATATGAAACGCTCTATTGTCCCTATGAATGTTGTGATTTAAACAATCCACAACTCTTAGATTTCCTTAAATGATCTCAATTTAAAAAAGGCAGTCCTCTTTTAAAATCTGTTACATGTGTGCAATCTTATGATCCAATTCATACTATTATAATTAAAAAAGCTAAAGCTTCACACCCAAACAAAGATACAAGTATCATGATGTAATTACTAAAAGAAATCCTTAATTCTCATAAATAAAGATCACTTGGATGACAATCACTTAGAATACAACAATAACAGCAGAATATTCATGTGATTCCTTCAATCTTACCTCCCATAATTTCTATTAATCATACTTTAATTGACAATCTCATTGAACAACCTTTCTACTGACTTTAACTCCAACAACTTTCTACTACCTTTTCTAATATATTTTTAAATTGTAATAATTCACCTAACATTTATACAGATAGTTCGTTAATAGGTGTTACAATAGGTAATTATTACATGGAAATTGGTTGGATCTTTCTTGATCTATATAATCATGATCAATGTTCTTTTTCTGCTACTATTCAATATTATCTATCCTCAACAAGAGATGAATTAGTTGTATTACTGACTGTTCGATTGTTTATTCTCCTTCATCATCACCAATAATATTCTTAGATAACCAAGCTACAATTTAAGAATTTCACAGTTTATTTAACAATATTCTATTGAAAAGACTTCAAACTTTACCATTTGGGCTTTGATCAAACATATAGTTGTTTTTCTTGAACTACTAGTTTCTTTTATAAAAGTTAAAAGGCGTTCAGATGATTTCTATAATGATAAGGCAAATTCTCTAGCTAAACAGGATTGCCAATTTACTCCTCTTACCTTAGATTTTACTTCAACAGATGATATTAGTCTAGTGCTATCCTTTAAAAAAGTTCCTATTGAATCTTCTTCCAGAAAATTTTGGAAAGATCTTTATGCTGTCTCACAGTTCTCTGAGTATTTAGAACTAAATAGAAATTGTTTTATCAAACAATAAACTTATAATAATGAAATATCCTAGTCCTCAACTTTCCTCTATTTAGCTAATAATGATAACAAAAAAAATCCTCTACTTCTTTCCTGCAATGAAGTAAAAAAGCTTTCAAAATTAAACTTTTTTGCTGAAGAATTACCCACATTATCAAAATTGGAAATCAGATGTTCAGATATTTATAAAGGCTGAAATTGTGCTATTTGTAACACAACTCCTGAAACTGCTGATTACTTATGGACTTACTCTTTCAATAAAGATAAAATGATCAACATTTCTGAAAAACTTATAAACTATGCTGATAAGCTAATCCTTTCTAAAATTGATAACAATGGATTACACTTATATCTTTTGATCAAATAACAAATTTTAGAACCATTTAATTTTTCCTCAAATCTCATTAAATTTATTCAACTGGTGAAAGGTTTTATTCCTAGATCTTTAGTTAATCACCTTAGATCTTTTTTTTTCTAATCACTTGTGGATCAAGTTTTGATTAATATCTTAGATAATGTTACCCAAGTGAAAATGAAACATTGCAAATCACATGATCAGAAATGTGATACAAAAAGCATGATTAATATTTATCATAATTGCAGAAACGATCTCATAATAGAAATGTAATCATAAATTGAAATGTTGATCAATGAAATTAGTATTACGTGATACAATATGTCACATTTAAAAATTAGGAGTAAATATAGTAATTATGAAAAGATATTAAATTATAGTTAGGAATTAGTTATTCTTATATAACTATGACTAAAGATGGATACCATAATTAAGAAGTTGCAACTCGATAAGTTGCAACTCCTTGTAAATTTATTTTAATATAAAAATTCATAAATAGTTGCAACTTAAAGTATTGCAACTTAAGTTGCAACTAGTTAAAAATTTTAAAAATAATTATGGGAATCATCTTTAGCCATTAATTGTGCAATGATTAGATAGTTAAAAGCAATCCTTATGTAATAATTATCTAATATATCTGTAATTTTAGATCAATTCAAAATATATAAATAGAATAAGTTGGGATTATTAAAGAGGAAGACGATAAAAAGAAGTAATTAATCTAAGAGGAATGTAATGCGAAGAATTAGTATTGATAAATGTGCAATCACTTATAATGTTATAATACTTTAATAAAACACTTTCTTTATGTTTAACAAAATTATTCTTTTATTTATTTCTCATAATGTTTGTATAACTCACTTATGTGTTACCTCTATCACAGTTCATTAAGTCTTCATACTTAAATGAATTGTCATGTGATTCAGCTTAAAAAGGTCATGATGAATTTATAATCTTTGACGACAGGTGGCAGTAGCAATCAAAGATATTTCATCAAATCAACTAAAAATTTATAACATAACAAACTCAACCTCTTATTTAAAAATAAACGTCCTATTTTTCAGGTAATAGTAAATTAAACGACTCTATCTATGAAATTATTTGAATACCTCATTGTAAAGCCATGATCATTAAAGAACAATCTCTTAATATTGGAGTTAAACTAAAAAAGAAGAAAATAAGGTATAAAGTCAATAGCTGACCTTCTTCTAAACCAAGAAAATCTTTTATAGATAATTGGAAAATTTGGCTTCATTTGGCTCTCAAATTTGATTATTTCTAGTACGACTTCTTAGGATGATACTGACTAAAGATGGTACAGCAATTGATTTCAAATTTACAAAATGTTGCAACATAAGCTAAAATTGGTTGCAACATACGTTGCAACATTATAAGTTGCAACATATATAGGTTAAAACTAATTGCAATGTAAGTTGCAACATTAAAAGTTGCAACATATTAATTACAGTTCCCATCTTTAATACTGACATATTTATTTAGATTTTTCGTTATTTGTATTCTTTTTGAGATTTTTTTAGAAGAGCACTGAGGGAGAATTTTGGTGATTGATTGATCCAAACGGGTTTGAAATAGAACTACAAAAATAGTTAGTCTTTATTTATGCATTTACTTTTTTAATTTTTTAATTTAGTTATTATCGTACAATTTATTAATAAAATACTGACAATACCATATCTTTGAAAACTAGTAATTACTGATAGTATTATATCTTTAAAAAAAAATTATTTCGACTAATAATAGCTTGTGATAAATTTTATGCTTTGTTTAAAAAAGTTACTTTGAATATATTAGAATAATTAATATAGTCAAAGTAATCTATGATATAAGAAATATATTTATTATTTCCCTAGTAAATAGATAGAAGCTAAGAAATGTTAGTTAAGTCAATAATTAAATAAAGTAGCATACAGGCCTACTTCTGATTTTTCAGAAAGAATTTTTGTTTAAATTGTATCATAATATTAATTATTAATAAAATTTATTGTAATATGAATCTGTTCTTGATCTTTTTATCCTATTTTCTTAATCAAAAAATCTATAGAGTAATAGATATTTCAAAATAGAATATCTATATTTTTTCTTTGCTTTCAATACTTTGAAGAAGTATAACTTTGAAAGGGACATAGAATACTGTTTGATTTAGACTCTTAAACATCAAGATTCTTTGATACTCTGAAAGAAAAGATGATTTTTATTCCAGAACCAAATTTGAAAAATAAGTTCATTTTACAAACAGATGCTTCAGATAAAAATCTCAGAATCATATTCATCTAAAAGGATGAACAAGGCTATAAACACCCTATTGCTTATACTAGTAGAAAACTTTTTAGTTTGGAATTAAAATACACCACTACTGAGAAAAATATCTTGCAGTCCTTGAACACTTTGACCATTATCTATATTATCAACCATTTGAGATAGTTACTGATTACTCTGCTTTAAATTGGTTATTAATTACAAAACATGTGAAAGAATAAGTCATAAGATAGGTCTTATTTCTACAAGCATATAATTTTACTATCAAATACAGACCAGGTATTAGAAATCAAAATGCTGACAGATTCTCTTGAATGGTTCTAATCAATATAGTATTAACTGATAAATATGAGAAAGAACTTAGCCATTGGATTCAAGTACATTTTTCTGCATTAGATATTCCTGGATGTCAAACGAAATAGTAATGGAATGGATTGTACAATAACAGAAAGTATCATAAAAATAGCTACGCTTGTAATGAGAATGATCATCACTCTCATTGGTATTATACTAAATATTACCAATGTATTAACCCATATAGAAACTACATATCTTCACCAATGGAACATACAATTTGCCAACATAATGAACATGAATATTACAAATATCTAAACATGATGTGAATCAGAATTTATCTTTAGCAAAGAAGA